CCCCAAGAACTCTGGTTCTTTTGAGTAGGAAGTAAATAGTATTTAGAGACCAGAATCTGCATTGTAAGTGCTTCAAAATTATAATACCAATAATACTAATAGTAAAAACCAAGGAAAGCTATTTGAGGTTTCTTTTGTCCTCAGAATATTTTCTTGATATATACTATTCAAAATACTATGCTTTAAAGACATTTGAAATCTTATTTTGTGTAGTTATGTCACCAGTAGGTTCACTGATTTAATTTTAATTTTTAGGAATATTTTCCATTTTTATTTAGTCCCATTCCAAGTGCTGGGGATTGAACCCAGGACCTACCACTTGCTAGGCAAATACTCTTCCAATGAGCTACACTCCCAGGATGTAATTTTAAAAATTATATTATTTTTATTTATTTATTTTTGTCTTTTTGAGGCAGGGACTCATTATGCAGATCAATCTGACCTTAAACTCACTTTGTATCCTAGGCTGTCCTTGAACTAGATCCTCCTGCCTTAGCTTCCCAAGTGCAGGGATTACAGGTGTGCGCCACCACACCTGGCTAATTGCATTTTTTTAAATAGCAGTATGGCCCAGGCTTGAACTGGTAATCCTCCCTCCTTAGCCTCCTGAGTGCTGGGATTACAGGCGTGTGTCACTTTGTGCCAGGAAAATAATTTTTAAATGTCTCAAAATTTGCAGGGCTCCCGTCTTAGCCCAGGCTGCTGTACTGAAATACCAGACTGTGGGGCTTAAACAACGATTTCTTCTCCTAGTTCTAGAGTACGTGCCAGATGGCAGTGCTGGCTAATTCATTTTCCCAGCGAGAACCCTCCATGACTGCCTTCGCAGTATGTTCTCATGTAGTGGAGAGAGCAGGACGCCTGTCTCTGTTTGGAGGGGCACTCATTCCGTCACAGGGTCCCAGTCTAGTGACCTCATGGAACCCTGATTACTTCCTGCAGCCTCTGCCTCTCGACACCATTACCGGAGGGGCTGAGGTTTCAATGTGTGACGGGGGTGTAGTGTAGATACTGAATCTGCAGCAACTCCAAAGCCACAACTTCCAACACTGCCCATGCTGCGTTTCTCCTTCCTCTCCCTATGGAGAAGCTTTTATTTCCTACTTGTCTTGCTCTTTCATTGTTTCTTATGTAAATTCATATGTAAATTTTTACATATAACTATGGAAACCAAATACATTTGGTTTTCTTCCTCTCCATTATACAAAAGGGAGCATTCTGCAACCTTGTACATCTCCTGAATGACACCAGAAGGTGGGGTTCATGCAGCCCATGTCCTGTTGAGGCCCACCTGGGCCAGTTTTACTCTTCGCGGGTGCAAGCAGTGCTGTGCTCCATGACCTTGTGTTTAGCTTTCATGTTTTTGAAGGGTATCCTCGTGACAAATTCCTAGATGAGAGATTACTGAGTAATTGCACTTGGAATGTTGTTTGAAATTGCCCAGTTCCCCTCCAAAGAAACAGTAGGATTTCTGTCAGTCCTGTCTTAAGTCTGCTGCTGCAGTGTCTTTTCACCCTTGCCCCTGAGCCCAGGGGGAAGGCCAGGAGCCCTGCCTCCTCTGTTGGATGGCAGGGTGATCCGGCCCGCCGATCTGGGATTGGGCAGGCTCAGATGATCTCAATTTTCCCTTCCCCAGCTGGATCCTGTTTGATGAGCAGAATTTTGAGGGGGACCAGTACATCCTCTCTGAGGGCGAATTTCCTACTCTTATGGCCATGGGCTGCCTAGCCTCCACAGTCCTGGGCTCTCTCCGGAAAGTGCCCCTGGTGAGTGTCCCTGTCCAGTTCAGGGCCACCCTGGAAGCAGCAGGACAGTCTTATGGGAGGTCCTGGGTCAAGACCCATCTCAACACCTTGTGGGCTGGGTCGAATAGTCTTTTTCTGATCTTCTTAACTCTGGAGCTTCCAAGCTAGCTCAGCTTACTATATATTTATCAAGCGTCTGTTGAGATAGGTCCTGCGAACACTGGGAAAACCAGACACAGCTTTATCTTCAAGGACCCCATGGTCACACACTTCTAAAACCTCCCAGGGGGGTGGTGTGTCCAGACACAGAAATAGTGCAGAGACGTGATGCCCTGGGGAGGGCAGAGGGCAGTGTGGCCTGGGTGAAGTCCTGCACAGGGAGAGCTATTAGCATCAGTCAGGGCAGTGGTTCTGCAGGGGACAGATGGGAGGGCAGGGGATGGCTGCTTCAGGGACCAGAGAATGGTGACATCCTGGATCAGGGAAGAGATGGCATAAGTGATGTGAGCCCTCTTAAGGCACTTGATCCTGGGAGGTGGGGCTGGCTTCACCCAGTCAGAGCAGCTAACATTCACCCAAGGCCTCTAATGCTCACCATAACCTTATTAGGTCCATTTTCCAGATGTGAAGACTGAGGCACAGAGCCACCCAGCCATATGCTCCAGTGTACACAACTAGGAATAGTCTTGTCTTGCTAGGCTCTGAAGACAGATGGTCCAGGGTCTGAAGCCCAGTGTTAGGGCCTTGAGCAAGCAGTTTCACCTTCTCCAGCCTCAGTTTCCCTTTTGACAAATGGGGCTCTTTTTTTTTGTGCGGAACTGGGGATTGAACTCATGTCCTTGTGCTTGCCAGGGAAGCGCTTATTCCACTGAGCCATCTCCCCAGCCCCTAAATGGGGCTCTTGATAGCAAGTAACTTACAGGATTGTTGAGTTACATTGTTGAGGAGATAAGGTAAGGCACTCAGCACGGTGTCTGGCACTCAGGCAGTGAGCTCAGTAAGTGAGCACAGTTGGACCAGCCCTGTGATTATCATAGTTGTTGGGAAGATGGAAAGGAGAGGTTGGAGAATGAGCCCTGTGATGGCCTGACCCTTGCTTCTACAAGTGTCATTTGTGCTGGGCTTGGTGGCGCAAGCCTGTAATCCTGGTACTCAGGAGGCTGAGGCGGAAGCAGCACTGTGCGTTTGAGGCCAGCCTGGGCTACATAGCAAGACACCCAGTGAGGGTGCTCAGGAGCACGGAGGGCTTGCAGGGCAGGCCTCACGCTTTCCCGCTGGCTCCAGCACTTTTCAGAGCCTGCCATCTTCCTGTATGGACTGGAGTGCTTTGAGGGGAAGGAGATCGAGCTCAACGGAGAGGTGCGGAGCCTACAAGCCCAGGGCTTCAACAACCATGTGCTGTCTGTGCGGATCAAGGGCGGCGTGTAAGTGCGCGGGGAGGCCTGGCTGTGGGGGCTGCTAGCAGGAATGGGTAAGCAGAGGGACGAATACCCCAGGGGTCTCTTCCTCTCCCCACACCTGTCTCCTACTTGTAAGCTGGGAAGGAGGAAGAGCAGTAGACTGAGAGGTATCACCGGCTTTGAGGACCTGGGTGCAGCCCCTGAGGGCCCCTTAGGACCCTCCCTTATCCCACAAGCCCCAAACTACTTCCCAGCCTCCTTCTCCATGCTTGGGACTGTGACTTTAGGCAGAAGCGTCTCAGCATGAGAGAAGAGGAGGGAAGGTCATTCTCACATCTTGCCTCCTCTTTCATCTGTCTATGTTCCTCCTTGTGACTGTGGCACATGTGGGCCCCAGCTGGGTACTGTGTGAGCACAGCGACTTTCGGGGCCACCAGTGGCTGGTGAGCGCTTGCGAGATCACCAACTGGCTGACCTACAGTGGCACCCAGAGGGTGGGCTCCCTCTACCCCATCAAGCAGGTGGGTCGCAGGTCCAGGGATGGGTCTGTCCAGGGTGTGCCTGTGTGTTTCGCAAGCATGGCCTGAGTGTACAGATGGTCCCAGTTTTGGCTCCATCATCATTTTTCTTACACAATTATCTAGTTAATTGTTTTCTCTGTGTCATTTCACTTTTTCCTTTGTTGTTTTTTGTGGTATTGGGAATTGAACCTGGGGCCTTCACACTCGCACTGAGCCAACCCTTTTTAGATGTTTCTTTTGTCCAGGCTGTGCTTGAATTTGCTGTTCTTCTGCCTCAGCACCCCAGGAGATTTATAGCAGTGTCATGTCCAACTTAACTCACTTTTTTTTTTACTTTATTATTGTCCTAAGGAATGCTATCCATAAAACTATGAATTTGATGTGTATGTATGTATATGGTTTTGTTCTTCTTAACTAGGGGTAATAAATACATTACCACCAAATTCTCATAAAATAAAGGGCTAGGGATATAGCTCAGTGGGAGAGCACCTGTTTGTTTATTTTTCTTTCTTTCTTTCTTTCTTTCTTTCTTTCTTTCTTTCTTTCTTTCTTTTTTCTTTTTTTTTTTTTTTTAAGAGAGTACTTGTTTAGCATGCATGAGGCCCTGGGTTTGATCCCCAGTACCCCAAAAATGTCTGTATGTTTTAAAAAATAAATTTTCTGCACAGGACCCAAAGTCGCCTCATGTATCCTGCCCTTGTCTTGTGAAACAGTCTTTGCTCATGAACGTCCATTTTCTTTGCTTGCTTGTCCACCTATGGGTCTCATCTTTCTGCATACAAGCATCTGCGGTGGCACTGTGTGTGCATGTGTATGTGCACAGTCTGTGTGGACTAATGTCTGTCTCAGTGTCTTTCTTTTTTTCTTTTTTTTTTTTTTTTTTGGCGGAACCAGGGATTGAACTCAGGCCCTTGCACTTGCCAAGGAAGCACTTATTCCACTGAGCCATCTCCCTGGCCCCCTGAGTGTCTTTCCATGTCTGTGGATGGTCACTGTCCATGTGCCCTAGTAGTGACCTCTGTGTGTGCACACATGTGTGTGTGCATGTGTGTGTGTGCATGCGTGTGTGTGTGTACGCACACCTGTGGGAGTGTGCTGGCTTTTTGATTGCTTGTGCCTGTGACCCTGCCAAGTGTGTCTTTGTACCAGGGTGTTGTGTAGTGTCTGTATTCACAGACTCTTAGGATATCACTGCTCAAAGAAATCCTGGAGATTATCTCCAACCCTCACATTTTACAGATGGGGAAATAAAGGCCCAGAGAAGTGGACAAGGATTTGCTCTGCAATCTTGGGCAAGTACCGGACCTCTATGGACCTCCATTTCCTCATCTTTAAAATGGGAATAGTGTGGGTTTGAGGACTGGGCTCCATAATGACTGTAGAACCCTTAGAAAGGTGCCAGAGAAGCACTCAACAGAGGTCAGCTGTGATTGTTACTATTATTGTCATTACTGTCACCATCATCTGAGACCTGCTGATTTGTGGCAGAGTTGGGTCTAATGTCTGACAATCCAGTGTCCAGCCCATCTTGGCCTCTTTTCAACATGCATGTGTGTGTGTGTGTGTGTGTGTGTGTGTGTGTGTGTGTGTATGCATTTCTCCCTATCAGCGTGTGTTTGCACATCTGTATTCCTGTACACATCTGTTCTTGTAGCATCCTTGATTATCTGGTCCACAGTAGGTTGGGCAGACCTGTGATCAGCTAGGATGGGCGAGTCTGCATCTTTTGTGAATTTCTGGGACACTTTTTGTCCTGTTCCCATGGGTCCCATTACACTGAGTGCCTCTGTGGACACAGAGCAGTGGGAACACGTGTGTGTGTGTGTGTGTGTGTGTGTGTGTGTGTGTGTGTTGGGGGGAACAAGGGGACTTAGAAGTAGAGTCAAGGAAAGTTTGAATCTTGGAAGCTCGACCCTAAAGGGTCCAGGGTTGAGGGCGGCGAGGGCATCCTTGCCAGGGACCCCTAACTCTCAGCTTCTCCCATCACCAGCGCCGAGCTTATTTCCGCCTTTGGAATGCAGCCCTGGGAGGATTCCTAGCAGTGCCAGACCACGTGGAGGACATGAAGGCGGGCCGTGTGGTGGTCTCCGAGCCCCGTGCTGGCGGAAGCTACATCTGGTACTATGAGGATGGGCTGCTAAAGAACCAAGTAAGAGCCTGAGCAGGGACTCCTAGGCCCCAGGCATTCCAAGCCCACCTTAGGAAGTCTCAGCTACCCAGAGGGCCTTGGGAAATGGAGAAGGGGCATGGACACCTGGGCAATTCTTTTCTTGTAGCCTCAGTGTGCAAAACTGGTGTTGATTCACATGCTTCTAAGAGTCCCCTAGTTTTGATGTCCTGAGATAAAACTTATTGTGTGTGTGCATGTGTGTGTGTGTGTATATATATTTTTAATTATTATTTATTATTATTATTATTATTATTATTATTTTTTTTTTTTTGGTACTGGGGATAGAACTCAGGATCTCGAGCTTGCCAGGCAGGCACGTATGCTACTGAGCTATTTCCCCAGCCTTTTATTTTTGATATGGGAATTAAACTCAGAACCTCGAGCTTACCAGGCAGGCGCTGTGCTGCTGAGCTAATATTCCCGGCTGTAGCCCTTGAATCTATTAATAATGATACTTCACAGTCTCCTGAAGGCCTACTATGTCCCAGGTGCTGAGGTTGTAGCAGTCAAAAGCCAGAAATGATTCCTGCTACCAGAGGAGAGAAAGACAGAAGCAGTTTATTTTATTTTATTTTATTTATTTATTTATTTATTTATTTATTTATTTATTTGCAGTACTGGGAATTGAACTCGGGACCTTGAGCTTGCCAGGCAGGCGCTTATTCTACTGAGCTATCTTCCCAGCCCCAGAAGAAGTTTAAATGAGCAGAATATCTAATTATCTTGGATACTGCAAGTGCAATAGAAGAAAGATAAATGAAGAGAGGGGGGTAGGGAGTTTCAGGAGCCCTGCCTGAGACGGTGATGTTTGAGGAGGCAGAGTGCAGCTGTCTCAAGGAGGAGCATTCCAGGCAGAGGAGAGAATAAGTGCAAAGACCCTGAGCTGTGAACATGCCTGACATTTTCGAGGCCTGCCACAGGCCCCTGAGAGCTTGGAGTGAAGGGTGGTAAAGAAGAAGTAGCGAGAGATGAGCTGAGGAAGGTTATGGGGGTATAGGGCTTTGTAGGCCTGTGGGGGCCTTGGCCTTTCCTTGGCATGGGATGGCCTGGCTTAGGGCCAGGCACTATATTCAACCTTCATACCAAAGCCTCCTGTACTCCTTGGAAAGCACTGTGCTCTGGCCCGATTATCCTGTCCATTTCACAGATGGGGAAATCAGAACACAGAGAGGTTAAGTCACTTACTGACAGTCACACAGCCATTCCATGTGTGGAGGTTTTCCTGATGCTTTGGCAGTGCATCATGGGAGACTTCCTGGAAGAGCTATTTTTCCAGCCCTTTTATGGTTTCTCACTTTAATTTTTTTTTTTTTTAATGGTATTTAGGGATTCCTAGCCCAAGGAAACTTGAATTCAGGAAGATGAAAAATTTCATAGGGTAACAGCCCATAAGAGCCAGGGTGCACTCCCAGAGTGTCCAGGGTATGTTGGGACTGGCGGTGGCTCTGTGGGCAGAGCATTGCTAATGACCTCTGGGCCTCAGGTGGCGCCCACCATGAGCCTGCAGGTGATCGGACCTCCCAGCCCAGGCTCCAAGGTGGTGCTCTGGTCCGAGAGCCGCCTACCACGCCAGACATGGAGCATCGATGAGTCGGGCCACATCTGCAGTGAGATGTTCGAAGGCCAGATCCTGGATGTGAAGGGTAATGTGGCCTCTGTGCCTGGGAGAGGGCACCTGAGGGGGCTGAGGACAGCATTGTCCCCTGCTCTCTCTGACCACGTCTCAACCTCCATTCCCCCCAGGTGGCCGAGGCTATGACCGGGACCATGTGGTGCTGTGGGAGCTGGATAAGGACAGGGCATCCCAGATCTGGACCGTCCATGTGCTTTGAACCTCACTCCTTCCCCAGCCCTGGCGGCTCTTGCTGGGATGCAATGTTTTTTATAGGTTTTTGTTGTGACATAAGCTATTTTCTGATGTGCTGCTGGGTATCTTCATCTCTGTGCACCTTGACATATGGAGTTTGGGAGAAGGTTTGCCCACTGGTCTACCCACACACTCGGGCTGGCTTCTTCCCTGTTTGTTTTTATATGAGAGTTGGATGTATACTTCCCCTGGGCCACCAGGGGGAGCTCAACAACCGGATTAACTGGCGTGAGTCACCCACAGGCTGCGCTCTGCTACAAGGGGTTTCAGGCTGTGAAGGAACACAGACCAATACCAGGGGTTGTGGTCCCCACGCACAGGGAACACACAGTTCAGTGGAAGATCCTGATAGCTAGGGTGACAATCAGTTAGAGGAAGAACACAGTGTAGGGCTGCTCAGAGCAGGACCTTGCTGCCTGGGACCTTCTGCTGACACAGGATGGGAAAGAGTAGACCAGGCTATAAAGTAGCACTGGAAAATGAACCCCAGCCTCGTGGTTCACCCACAGAATCCCAACACTTGGAAGGCTGAGGCATGAAGATTGCTAAGAGTTCAAGGCCCGCTTGGGCTACATAGCAAGAACCAAACCAGGCTGGGTGTGGTGGTGCGCACCTGTAATCTCAGCACTCCGGGAGGCTGAGGCAGGAGAATCAGTGAGAGTTTGAGACCAGTCTGGGCTACAAAGTGAGCTCAAGGCCAACTTGAACTGCATAATGAGACCGTGTCTCAAAAAGACAAAAAAACCCTCAAAAACCAAAAAACTCCAGTGATGACAGCTTCACTGGTAGATGCACAGTGGGACAGACAGGTGAGATGAGGGGGAGCAGCCACCTTCAGGACTTCATCCCAAGAAGCCAGGATAAGGGCCAGGCTGCTAACCCTGCTTAGAGGATCCATGTAGGAGTGTAGTACCCTCTGCCCCGGATCTAGGGCTACAGCCACTTCTCAGCCCTTACACTGATGTCCTCTGCAAGACACAGAGATGACAGGGCTGTTCTGGGGCCCCCTTCCCTCTTTGAAGCTCCACATACCAGCACCCAAACCCAGGAGGGGCAGGCGTGTTTAAAGCAGCTATTTGTCCTTCCTGCTTTTGCTGCCTGTGGGTGAGTAGGGAGTAGACAGTTGCCGCCTCCTCCGCCTTCTAGTGGTTGCAGTTCCTTGGAGGGGGAATCACCAGAATCTGTTATTCTGGGACATCTAGGTACTTGGTGGGGGGGTGCTATCTGGGCCTGGGGGGATCCAGTAGTAGTCGAGTCTCTGGGATCATCACCACCACTTGGGGACAGGTGAAGCAGCGTGACCAAAGGGGATGTCCAGGGTTCCAATTTCTGGGCCTTGTTCTTTAAAGGTGATTCTAAGGGGAGGGAGCTCCACAGTGGACTTTGAGGCAGGGAAGCTGGGGGAGCACTCTGGGGGCACCTTTTCAGCTGTTGTGAATATGGGGCCTCCTTGGCTCCGGGGCTAGTGATGTCCAGTGACCACATGGGCCTCCTCTAAACACAAAGATACGTTTATTGACCCCCAGCAGGGTAGCATCTGCCCCCTCCACCTTGACACCCCCCAACACTTTGGCCACCACCCACATGGCACTGCTTGTCAGTTTCTATCACCTGGGATCCCTGGACTCAACCCCTCCCAGGGATGATGGGAAAGGGTACTCTGGCCACTGATGTGGCAGCGGTTTTGGTGGGTGTAAGGCCAGAGGTGACACTGTTGCCTTAGCTGAGGTGGAGGAGGTGGATGAGAACATTGATCAAGAAGAGGAAGAAACTGCCAACACCCATGTCGCTGAGAGCTGGGGCCCCGCTCTTGGGTTTCTTTTTGGTTGTGAGTGTTTCTTTGGCCTCGGCTGTGCTCATGGGGTGCCTTGTGGTCGTGGACGTGGTAGTCTGGGTGGTGGTCTGGGTGGTGGTCATGGTGGTCCGGATCGTCGGGATCCCTGGGACTGGGGTGGTCTGGTTTCCCAAGACTCCAGTTTGTATCTGCAAGAGGAGAAGTAGGGGGTGGGCCTTTGAATCTTGTGTGTTAAGGCTGCAGCGCCCCTTCTCCTCCCCCAACCCCAGGTTTCCATAAAGCTTCTGCCCCTTGTCCTGTCTGGATGTTTGTCTGCTTCTTGCCTTGACACGGGCAAGGGCAGACACGACCCCCTTCTTGTCACTACCCCCCACCGTGGAAACTTCCTTTCACCTGACCCAGGCCACCAGCGCCTCCAGCACAGGCAGAAGCTCCAGCCCTTGGCTTTACTGCAGGGGGCTTGGCCTCCCTGAGCCTCAACATTTCCTGTCTTCTGAATGGGGGAAGAGTCCATCATGGTGGTGAAGGTCACATGAGACAGGGTGGAGAACACTCTTGGCAAAGGGTCAGTGGGTGGATGGGGTGGTGGAAATGGCCAGATGGTGACCAGCCTGTCCTTGATGCTTGAGTAGGCAGTTCCTGATAAGAACTTCACGGCTCCTGTCTCCAAGCCCCTCTGGGCATGTAGGATGCCACCAAAGTGCCCCCTGGGGTGGCAGTTGACCTTGAAACTGAATGGGAGTCTCCTTTTCCTTCCCATACACCTGAGCTCCCCAGCAGAGGTGGGGCTGGGGCCCCCTAGCACCTCTAGAAGCAGAGCAGATGCTGCCTGGACACTTCCTCCTCCATCCCAGCAGGACCATTTCCACAGGCTCGCTTCGGGCAGATGCCACCCACACACTCTGTCTCCCGTCCCTCTTAGTTCCCTAGTACTGCACGCTCTTGGGTGCAGCACCCGTAGCACGCAGCACACATAGGTGCCTCAGTGTGTGGGGCACCCTATGAAACAAGCACAGGCTTCAGCCTGATGGTAGCCAGGGGGGCTGGAAGCCCAGGCAGGTCAGACCCCAGGTCCCAGTTCCCTGCTGGAGTCCAGCTGCCTCTGGGAGCCGGCTGGGTGTCTAGGAGCCTCCTTTCGCTGCGTCCATGCCCAGCTGGCCCGGGGAGTCCCAATGGTTGTACCAGGGGCTCTGAGGATCTGTTCTTACCTGAAACATCACCAGAAGGCCGATAGTGAGGAGGAGGAAGAGGAAGCCGTTCATCCTGGAAGATCTTGCTGGGCTCTGTTGGTAGCAGCTTTGGGAAATGGGCTCAGGGCTGTGTGGGGCTCTTCGGACTCAGCTGCTTTTGAACCAGAGGAAGGGGAGGCGGGCCTGGCGGAGGGAGGAAGGAGGGGCCTGCAGTGGTGGGCGGGAGCTTCTTCCTTTCTACAGACCTGAGGGTGGCTGAAACAGGCCTCTAGGTTTCTAGGCCCACAGGTAATGGTTCTGGGCAGGGCATAGGACAGATCCCAGGGGGTGAGAGGTATGCAAGGCAAGCGCACAGCTATGGGGAGCAGAGAGGGCCCCGGGCTAGAGGCTTCAAACACTCTCATCCCGTCACTCTCGCTTTCTCAAGCAGCTCTCCAGAAGCCTTCAGTTAGGAAGGTCTTTACTGTACTCTCAAGGCTGCCTCAATGCCTGGAATAGATCCAAAACGCTTACCTATAGTGGTCATTTTGACTGTAGACAAGAGCCAGAAGTCACACGGTGCCAGGCCAGGTGGGTAAGGTGGGTGGGGACGCAGCGTAACTCTTTTACGTGCCTGGTGTTCCATCACACGGCACTCGGCAGCAGTGTTCATCATAGTTTTGATCACACCTAGCAAAGACACAAAGGAAGGCTTCTAGAACTGCTTCAGAAAGTGAAAAGGGGCTGGCAAGAGCTCAGCGGACTAAGCACCTGCTTGGGCAAGCGCAGGGGCCGGGGTTCGATCCCCAATCCCACATGCTGTGCCAGCCCTGCCCCTGGGGTGCGCAATGAGCTGTCAACCAAGTCCAGGCGAGGTGGTGCACACCCAGTAATCCCAGCGCTGGGGAGGCTGAAAACAGGAGGATCACTACAAGTCCGAGCTGCTTAGTGAGACCCTGTGCCAAATGCATAAATGGGGGGGGAAAAAAAGAGAGAGAGAGAAAAGTGAGAACAGTGGGATGTGTGTGCTCTAAGTAAGGATTTTGAGTACAATCAATGGCAACATGTCTTTACCATAAAGTATTTTTAAACCTAAAATTCACTGTCTAGTGCCTGCTTGGCAAGTGCAAGGTCTAGAGTTTGATCCCTAGTCCCAGGGGGGAAAATCGCTGTCTATTTTCATCACACTGTGTACTTTCATTTTTTCACTGTATTCCCAGTGACTTGCTTAAGGTCATCCTGTGGAGCCAGTGTCATTGGAATTTGAAGCCAGGCCTGTGTGAAGCCACAGCCCTGCACGCAGCCTGTGGCGCTGCCCCAGGAACACTAATTGAGTCTCTCTCTCTCTCTCTCTCTCTCTCTCTCTCTCTCTCTCTCTCTCTCTCTCTCTCTCTGAACCGAGGATTGAGCTCAGGCCCTTACACTTGCCAGGAAAGCACTTATTCTACTGAGCTATCTCCCCGGCCCCTACTAATTAAGTCTTGATTCCCTGTCCCCCCTTGTTGCATGGATGTTAGGTCTCCTACCTTGGCCTTCTCCCTGGCTCACTCTTGTGGTGTTTTATTTACACACCAAGAGCTAAGGGGACTCCCAGAGAGACTGAGGGCTCCCTCACCTTTTCCCTGCTTTTGTTTAACCTGGAGGTGGAAAGGGAATATCCTCAGCTACAGGAGGGAAGGACACCGGGCCAGGAGATGGATGGCCCACACGGAAGCCTAAGATTGCTTTGCTGAAAACTGGCCCCATCACACTGGGCAATCTTCTCCCTAGGGTCAGCCGCAAGATCCTCAGTTCCTCCAGGCTCTGGGTGCACATGATACCTAGATGCCAGATTTAAATATTTATCCTGCCTGTCTATCTATCTGGCACTGGAGTTGAATGTAGGGCTTTCCACATGCTAAATACATGTTCCACCACTGTGCTGTACCTCTCAGCCTCACCCCTGCTGACTCAAATTTATAAATCTTTCTTACAAATCCCATTTTATTTTCTTGTCTGCTGTCATATGAGGTGGGGCAGCTTTGGGAGGAGGGTGGAGGGGGTGGAAGGACTTTGTTTTGAGACAGGGTCTTCCTGTGTAGTCCAGGCTACCCTTGAAGTCACGAGCCTCCTTCCTCAGCCTCCTGAGTGCTGGGATTACAGTCGTGCAACACCACACCCCAGCTAGTAGGAGACTCGAAGGGTCATCAGGGCTTCAGGCATAGCAGGATGTCCGGCAAGTGTCTACCTGAGGAAGTGGGGGTTTCAAGCCTTGGCACATTCTGGTTACATCCCTATGAATAGAACCCTTGGCCTTAAGTGTAGGGGGCTCAAAGAAATCCCCATTTCACAAATAGGAAAACTGAGTGCAATTTAGAGGCAGAGCTTGGGCTACAGCCAAGACTCCTGATGCCTGTACACCTCCAAGCCCAACTCGTGTGTGTGTGTGTGTGTGTGTGTGTGTGTGTGTGTGTGTGGTGTGGTATTGGGGATCGAGTCAGGGCCTTGTGCATGTTCTATCACTGAGTTACTCTCTAGCTCCTCCAAACCTCCCTTCTGTACCTTAACTAGCATGGTGAGGAGTCTCAGCCCATACTCCCTACAGCTGTCCTTGGAAATGAAGTGTGAACCCCTCAGTGTGACACTCAAATCCCCTCTGCTTGCTCCCCAGCCTCACGGCCTGTTCTGTGACATCCTCTCCCACCTACACATCCAGCCTCACCCACAACCACCTTAGCCACAGCCATCTCACATTGCCAGAGCTGTCCCAGGCACTGTTTGTTTGAGATAGGCTCTCACTATGTAGCGCAGGCTAGCCTTGAACTTGTAATGATCCTCCTGCTTCAGCCTCCCAAGTACTTAGATTATAGGCATACCACACTAGGCTACCCAGGTGCTTTTGCACAGTGTATTTCCTCTCTGGAAGGAAAACTCTTCCTTAATTTTGGTACTGGCACATTCTCATTCTCTCTCTCTCTCTCTCTCTCTCTCTCTCTCTCTCTCTCTCGCTCGCTCTCTTGCTCGCTCTCGCTCTCTTGCTCTCTTTCTCCCTTCCTCTGTCCTTCTCTCCCTCCTTCTCTCCCTCTTGGGAACTGAACCCATGGCCTCTAAATTGAGCTATATCTCCATTTTTTTTTTTAAATTTTATTCTGAGTCTCACTACATTGGCTAGGCTGGGCTCTAACTTGTGATCTTCTTACCTCAGCTTCATAAATTGTTGGGATTTGGGCCTGCGGTACCATACCCAGTGTGACAAACTCATCTTTATTCTTCAAGATATAGCTCAGATCTGAGTATGGTGGTATAATCCCAGCACTCTAGGAGGCTGAGGCAGGAAGAAGGCAAATCCAAAGCCCAACCTAGGCAATTTAGCAACTGAGTGAGACCCTGTCTCATAGTTTTAAAAAAGACTGGGGATTTGCTCATTACCCTAGGTGCAATCCTCCCCACCACAAAAAATTAAAATAAAGGTTATTTAGAGGCCCCTCTCCCAGGAGAGCCCACTACTTCACCCAGGAAGCTCCTCAGAAGATGGGGGGGGGCTTTTCCTCTGAGTTCCAAGGGCCCCTTGTGTTGACATTGCTTTAAAGATCATTTCTGGGAAAAAAAAAAAAAAAAAAGATCATTTCTGTTAAGCATGTGATCTGACCTAGGACTTAGCACCCCTGAAACCCAGGACAGCATAGAATATGGCACAGAATACGTGTCAGGGTCACCAGAAGGACTGAATGTGAGGCATCCGCTCCCGCCCCCAAACTTTCATGCCTGAATGCATTTATTCAGCAGGCAAATATGGGCAACAGGGGCTCTGTTCTGAGGGGTTAGCGGTGCAGGGAAGCACTGGGGTGCTAAGAGAGGAGAGCCCTTCGTGGAGGCTACTTTTCTCCTAAAAGCATCTCTTTCCCAGAGGAACAGCTAAAACAGAGCAGAACTTTCTAGATGTTTATGAGGCAAAGGGAAAAAACACTAGTTCAAGATGCCCTAAGAAGGGCCGGCCATGGGGCTGGTGAGATGGCTCAGTGGTTTAAAGCACCTACTTAGTACAAGCTTAGCAAAGCACAGGGACCGAGGTTCAATCCCCCAGCACCACATGCCAGCCAGCAGGCCTGGGGGCGGGCTGACACACACACACACACACACACACACACACACACACACACACACACACAAATAAAATTTAAAAAAAAAGGGCCGGCCAAATAGTTCAGCGGATTAAAGCTCCTGCAGGCAGGAGCAGGAGCAGGGGCAGGGGGCTTGATCCCCCGCTTGCCGGGGCGTGCTGAGTGGGCGTGGTGATGCACCCCTGTAATCCTAGCTCTTAGGAAGCTAGCGAGACCCTGAACACCCTATTGACCCTTCCCTAAAAATACAAAAAATAAAAAGAGGGAGCCCTAACAAACTCCTTTCACTAGGCTTTGGATTGGAATCCTGAGGAGTCAAAATGAACAGAAAACAAGCAGAGGTCCTGGATTCAAGAAAGAGAATATGACACCAGACAGTATGGACTTATCAATAAAACTTTCAAATAACTATGCTTAATATATTCATAGAGAACTGGAAATTATAAAAACCACCAAAATGAAAATTCCGGAACTGAGAAATAACAGTGGAAATGAAGAATTCCATGAATAGGTGTAACTTCACATCAGAGTTACTGAAGTGAAAGATCATAAGAAAATATTCTTTAGGCAAGGTGTGGTGGCCCACACCTGTAACCCCCGCACTTGTAACCCCCGCACTTGGGAGGCTGAGGCAAAAGAATCACTGTGATTTATTTATTTTTATTATTTATTTATTTATTTTTTGGCGGAACCGGGGATTGAACTAAGACCCTTGCACTTGCCAGGCACTGTGATTTTGAAGCCAGCTGGGATACCAAGTGAGTTCAAGGTCATTCTGAACTACATAGTGAAAAAAAAAAAAGAAAGAAAGAAAGAAAGAAAGAAAGAAAGAAAGAAAGAAAGAAAGAAAGAAAGAAAGAAAGAAAATATCCTTGATAGCATAACATTTACCAAGTGCCTAGTTTGAGGCAGGTCCTGGTTTTGGATTAGCTAGCCTCTGTGGATAGAGCAGTGGACATACAGGTGTAGTCCCTGCCCTTGTGGAGGTGACATTCAAAGGAGGAAGACAGATAACAACCATCTTGGGTGGGCTCAAGTTACATTAATGGTCAGGAAGGTGGAGGGACAGGCCACAA